GCAAAGAGAGATTCATATGATCATGTGTTTTGGCTCAAGAATATTTTGAGGTGATCTGCAGGAAAATGACACTTTTTGAGTTGGAAAAGCTGTTTATGTTGAAGACATCTTAAGCATGAGTTGAAGAGCTTAAGTGGCTTCTGTGTGTATTCTTAGGAGAAATTAGGCACAAATGGTGATGTCAGCGTTACCAGTGCAGTTGGTCTGCAAGTTTTATGAATAACAAAATGCTTAAACTGATTAAAGATAACAGCCAATTAAGTCGTTTGTATGTGATGAGATTATCCCAGTGGATACAGGAGTGAAAGGCAGAACCTTGGCCCTTCTTCCCTTGTGCTCTCTTTGGTTCAGGTTCTTGTTCTCAATCCATTGTTTTGATTGGAGTGATTCTATGATTAATGATTCTATGATTATTACAAGGTTTTGTGGGAGCCTTTAGCAGATATTGCAGAACTGTTTATGTTAATTCGTGTGTGTTTGAAGAATACCACGATTTTTACGTCTCAAGTCTTGAAAGGTATGAAGTGGCTTTTATACTTTAGCTAGTCTGAATTGTCAAAAGTAAACAAGGAAGGAAATCCTCAAGGTCTAGGCACAGGTTTAATATGCAAATTGCTTAGCCTATAGCTCTGCATCCCAAATTCTGTTTGCCAAATAGACCTTTCTGCCCCTTAATTCTTTGTATCATTTTCAATCATACACTGAGTTAAAAACTAGTATTTGAATCTAGAATTCCTGCCCTATAACAGGTAAAATTTGAAGTGCAGTGGAGGACAAAACTCACAGGAGCTGAAGAAGCCTTTGCTCACACCCTTTTTTTTTTTTTTCTCCTAGAAGGGAAAAATCAGAGGAAGAAAGAGTTGACATTTTTTGAGAGGTGACAATAGAAAGGCAAGGGAGGTTTTGTCTCTTTTCCTCTGTGTACATCCTGCACACGAACTGAATTTGTTTGCTTCCTGTATGGGGTTTGCTGCCTCTGGGTATGGAAATCTAAGTGTGTGATTGTGTGTTCAAATCTGGGCTCATTTGGTGCATAGGGAGTGATCTCCTGTAAGATATGTGTTAAAAAAACCTGGAGCACAAATAGCTACTCTTAAAGGTTATTAGATATTTATTTATTACTTTTACTCCTACAAAGAATCAGATCTGATAGCACGACAAGTTGCATATTGGTTATCCTCCTGTTTCCTAAATTACTCTCCCAAGCAGAGTCTGAACAACATCGTACAAATTTTCTGCAGTGTGTTATACAGAGGTCATTTAAACAGACACCCTGGGAAACATATGCAGGAAGATTTATTCCTTTCCTGTCCATGGGAGAGATTAGGATTCTAACCATCACCCAGACTGGAGAACCCTCTTCCCATGGACCCCCAGGTCAGTTGAGCCAGGGCAGAGTCAGATTGGATGTGAGCAGAAATGTTTTCCCTGTCAGGGTGTTGAGGCCCTGGGATATTGCCCAGGGAGGTGGTGCTGTCCCCATCCCTGGAGGTGTTTCAGAGGTGTCTGGATATGGCACTGGAGGATCTGGTTTAGGGTTCAGGGGTTCCAGCAGTGACAGGTTAATGGTTGGACTCCATGATCTTAGAGGTTTCTTCCAATCTTGATGGTTCCATGATTCTAGTTGCAGCTTCAATGTCTTCAGCCAGAGCTATGGGCCTGATTTTATCTGTTTCATGCCTTAGCTGTAACTGTGCACACAGAAGTGTTTTTCAGCTGGTTTCATACGTCAGAAATAGATAACTTTCCAGGCTACTTCATTCAACCTGGCAATGTTCTCAGCCAGGTTGGATGAAACCTTGAGCAATCTGCTCTGGTGGGAGAACTCACTGCCCATGGGCTTGGGACTAGATTATCTCTAAGGTCCATTAAAACCCCTAAAATTCTATGATTCTGTGATTCTTCTTGGATGAAGACAGGACCATTGCAAGGCCTAATGTAGTTCTAGGCATTACTTGGTTTTGTGAAACCTAACCTTGAGCAATCTGCTCTGGTGGGAGAACTCACTGCCCATGGGCTTGGGACTAGATTATCTCTAAGGTCCATTAAAACCCCTAAAATTCTATGATTCTGTGATTCTTCTTGGATGAAGACAGGACCATTGCAAGGCCTAATGTAGTTCTAGGCATTACTTGGTTTTGTGTAGCAGTGAATGGGTATTAATTTATCTGTATCCTTGAGCAATCTGCTCTGGTGGGAGAACTCACTGCCCATGGGCTTGGGACTAGATTATCTCTAAGGTCCATTAAAACCCCTAAAATTCTATGATTCTGTGATTCTTCTTGGATGAAGACAGGACCATTGCAAGGCCTAATGTAGTTCTAGGCATTACTTGGTTTTGTGTAGCAGTGAATGGGTATTAATTTATCTGTATTCATCACGTAGATATTAATTTAAGTTCTACTGTGGTGTTTAAAATGTGAGATTTGTTTAAGAACAGCATCACTACATGCATTGCATCCATCCATGCACACACCTGCTTTTCATCTCTGCTGTGGGAAGGCTTCAAAACATTGGAGCAGGCAGAAGGAATTGCTACCCCTGTTCACATGAGACACACAAATGGCTACATACTCACTTTGGAATGGAGTAGAAAAACTCTCGGTACTGAAAAATCACATTTCTCTAGCTTCTCTAATATTAAATCCAGGCCCTTAGTCATTAGATCTTCTCTGCAGGTTTTATTTCCTTGTGATCAGAGGTTCATCTCTTTGCATTTTGGATGGAAATGGTTAATAGAAGGTGTCAGAGCATCCTGATGATAATTAGAGTTGAGTTGTGTGCTGAAGTTAGCATAATCCATAACGATTTCTGTGTTAGAAGCATTTATTTACACATTTGGCCCACATTAAATTGCAGTTGATTTTTCTACATAACTTTAGGGAATGTGTGTTATAAAAAATGTCAGTTCAGCATTCTGGGTAACAGTTCTCAGGTTATAAATAGGAAATGTGCAAATGTCATTCTGCTCATCAGGTTTTTGTGAGTTAATGGCTTGTGCCATGCTGAATTAACTGTTTTGTACTGATTGATATGCTCTGTATTAATTTATTTGTGACTATGAAGTTCTTGTATTAAAGTGGGGTCGAAGTAAATTCACTGCTCCCCCAAATTATCTGTTTTGAGACAACGGAATATTGCAGGGTACAGCTTTTCCCTGGTGACAAGTGGCTGTGCCTTTGGGTATTGCATTGCAGGAAATCCTAGCAGAGAGGGTAATTTAAGCACATACAGACAGAAAGAGCAGCCTTTTATTTTCAGTGTGATGTAAGAGCATAAGAGCACATCCTTTGGCTGTTGTCATACTGTGCATGTTCCTTAGAGCAGGTTTAATTCAAGATTTAAGGTGTAATTTTTTTCTTCTAAGGCTTATTTCGACACACAGCTTTAATGCAGTTTAATTGATTTTAGATGTTAATTTATCAATGCTTCCCCAAGTGTCTTAACATAGATGTGATAATTTAGTGCTTTTGAAAAAGATTCCCCATTCTAATTTATGCTCCCTGGTTCACTCAAAGATAAAAATATCTGGAGTATAAAGGACTGTCTTCTCAAGTCTTTATATTTTTCATTACAGAACATTTTTCTGGTGACAGTTGAAAAGGGTCAAGTGGTTTGTGTGTGTCCTCTTTGCATTTTTACATTGTTATTTGTCACTTCAGTAACCGAGTGTGTGATAATTAAGCTACCTGAGTTTCTAAACATTTTTTTTGGCTCTTCATTTGCATTTGGTAGAGGTGTTGACAAACATCCAGAGATTTGCTATCCTCAGTGTAGTGTGTAAAGTACTGGCAAAATAGCACAGTGAGATGTTGTGTTATACAAACTGCTCTTTCCTGTTGTACCTCCATCAAAACAGCTCTATGTAGACCAGTATCTGTGTGAACCCAGAGAGTTAAGATAATGAATGTAAAGTGGTCTTAGTGGGTAGTTGTTATGTTGAAAATGCATTGTAGTAACACCTTTTGTAACTCTTGGGAAGGGATGGAGATGGTGGTTCTACTGGAAAAGGATTGATTGATTGATCAACACTTTGAAAAGGCTGGATGGTGTTTCTTCAGGTTGTTCAAGCTCTACCTTGTGGTTATTTGTAAAGAGTTGTAGATCTCCAAGCCTGATGGAGCTCAAGAGGTGTTTGGCCAATGCTCTCAGGCACATGGTGTGATTCTCAGGGATGTCCTGTGCAGAGCCTGGAGTTAGACTAGATGAGGAGGCTCAGGGGAGACCTTATCACCCTCTACAAGTCCCTGACAGGAGGTTGGAGTCAGGTGGGGGTTGGTCTCTTCTCCCAGGCAACCAGCAGCAGGACAAGAGGGCACAGACTCAAGCTCTGCCAGGGGAGGGTTAGGTTGGCTATTAGGAAGAGGTTTTTTACAGAGAGAGTGCTCAGGCATTGGAATGTGCTGCCCAGGGAGGTGGTGGATTCACCATCCCTGGAGGTTTTCAAGCTGAGACTGGATGTGGCACTTAGTGCCATAGTCTAGTGACCACGGTAGGGTTGGACTCAGTGATCATTGAGGTCTCTTCCAACCCAGTTGATTCTATGATTCCTCAAGGGTCCCTTCCAACTCTGATTATTCTGTGATTCTGTCATCAGTGGCATCTGCAAATAGCTGTATTGATTACAGTATGTGTTTTATACACCAGCTGCTCTGCCATTGCACAAAGCAGAGTCCTGAAGATGCATCTCTGCTCTTCAGTGCTTGTTAAGAGTTTCTTCTGCCATGTCCTAGTCTGTATTTTATTGTGTTATTGTTTGGTTTATGAATGAGTGTTAATAGTGAATCTGGAAACAGAACCTGGAAATGCACTGTTCAAACCCAGGACTTAAAACAAAAGTTGTGCACAAATATAATTGTATTCTGAATACACATTTCAAGTTGGTATGTTTTAATAACTTCTTAAAAGTAAATGACTTCTTTAAAGCTACCTTTGCTCAGTTACAGAGAATTACTTGTGTTTTTACTTTTGCCTTAACTAGCATTCTCTTCCATTTCAGAATGTATGAAAACATGTCCACGATGGTGTATTTAAAGGAAGAGAAGTTGGAGAAGCTTACTCAAGATGAAATCATTGCCAAAACTAAGCAAGTGATTAATGGACTAGAGGCCCTGAAGAATGAACACAATTCAATTTTGCAGAGCTTACTGGAAACACTGAAATGTTTGAAGAAAGATGACGAAACTAATCTGGTGGAAGAAAAATCAAATATGATTCGAAAGTCACTGGAAATGCTGGAGCTTGGCCTTAGTGAAGCACAGGTAAAGCTGCAGTAAAAATAAAGCATTTCAGACTTTGAGGACTTAATTTGCCTTACCAAATATTAGTAATGTGCCGGGACATTTACCATTTTTCTTGTATACTAAGGGAAAAACTGCTGTAATTAATAGAGGTAATTGCTGCCTATCTTGCTGTGTTGTGGAGCTAATTATGCATTCAGTGTTAAGACACTGAAGCTCGTAACTGAGCTCCTCTTTATGACAGTGAGGCAGTTATATTTTCTGGGCAGACTTTTCCACAGCATTAGGCAGGTAATGTTCAGGCAGCTGAAGAACTGAGCAGTGGCATTTAGCTCTGAGTTACTGCCTAGGAAGGTCTCACACACATCCACACATAGGAATGAATTTCCTCCAGCCTTTGAGCTCTGGTGAAACTGCAAATTCATCTTTGTATTCCCCATGACTGAGATTCTTTGTAGTAGCTCATGATGCTCCGAGAGCTTAAGAATCTCTGATGTTTACTGAACATTTCACCAAACCCAAACTGGATCTAAAAACATTTGGAAGGTTAAGAATTGAGTACAGAATCTGAGCAACTTTGGTGCATTAAAGACAGGACTCAGAACTAACTTCTGTGAACTCTTAGATGATGAAGATGTCTGGAGAAGATGAGTGCTTAGTTAGGTTGTCAGGACTGTATTTCCAGTACAATTTTAGGGTATTTTGTACTAGGTCAAAAACCTGAAAGGATATGATGTGACACAGTCATCAGTGTCAAATGGGAGAGTGTTTGCAGATGAGTTGAAAATGCCAATGAGTTAGTTCTATTTTAACAGGCTTTCTGTTGGTCTATAACTGTGCTCAGATTTCTCTTTTGGATTGACCTATCATTGCTTGGTGATCTGGAAGTTGTGTGCATTGGATCATGGTGAATTGAGGCTGAGAGAATGAAATGTGGGTTATCAGCCATGGGAATGTAGAGAGCCTGGACATGGTATAGACTGTCAGGCCTTAGTGTGTTGTAAAAGCTCTGCTTCCTTGTGTTGGAAGAAAATACTAGAATAAAGTTGGAATACTATGGAATAAAGTTGCAGTAGTTGAGTTACCTTGAAATGGGTGTTTATAGAAGATGTGTCAGTGAATTAGTACCTTCTCTCTCCTAACTTTGATGTGGTATTTGCACTCCCAAAAAGCTAGTTCTGACTCTTGGCTCTGCCAGATCAGCAGCCTCAGTTGCAGATGTTCCTGCCTTGTTTTTCCCATGTGGTGCTTTGTGAACTGTGGTGGTGAGGAGCCAAGAAATCTGCATTTGCTGCCTTTGGTAGGAAACCAATTCCACTCCAAACTCCTACTCTCAGGCCTGATAAGACTGTTCTAACACTCCAACAAATGGAGTAATTTGTTCTGATTTATTTAAGTTAAGATGTGAAAACCTGTTAAACATGTTTTTTGTGACATGTATGTAGGTCTAGTGCCATAAATTTTCCATGAAAATGAAACTAATTTTGCTGAAGAAGTAAGAAGACTTTTCTGTCAGTTAATTCTAGGGAGTAAGATGACAAAAGATCTTAGTTTGCCATTACAGCTTGTTCAGTGTTTGAATTTGTTGACTCTGTGATCACAATTTACCTAAAGGTGCTTTTTGATGTTACAAATGCCACTGTTTGAAGAGCCCAAGTAATTTAAAACATTAGAACAGTCTGGGATGTGTAAATAGGTAGGCTTTGAAGCCTTGGGTGTGTAAATAGGTAGGGGCTACGTTCTTGGAGATGTAAATAGGTAGGTGTTGAAGTCTGGAGATTTGGACTGGTATTAGGAAATTACACCTGCAGTTTTTCTTACCTTTATAGGAAAAAGCAGTTTCTAAAGGGGGATTTTCCAGTTCCTAACACAGAGTCCCTCTCTGGCTCCTTGTAGGCCCTTCAGATATTGAAAAGTTGCTCTGAGGTCTCCACACAACCTTCTCTTCTCCAGGCTGAACAGCCCCAACTCCCTCAGCCTGTCCTCACAGGGGAAATCCCACCATATGCCTGAAAGTGTTGTCCAAACACTCTGTGAGCTCTGTCAGGCTTGAGGCCTGGGGAGCTGTTTGTGCCCAAACAGCCTCTGGTGATTTATTTGGCAAATACTCCTTTGGATGCAACTAGGAAACATATCTGTTACCTGTTAATGAGAAGAACTTACGTGAATTCTTCTCATTAACCTTAAGTGAATACTTAAGGTTCAAGTAATAAAATATTTTTATGTGAAATCCAGGACTGTATTTTAGGGGAAGGATGTCATGGGGCACGTTCTGCTTTGCAGGTGATGATGGCCTTGTCGAATCACTTGAACGCGGTGGAGTCGGAGAAGCAGAAGTTGCGCGCTCAGGTTCGCCGGCTGTGCCAGGAGAATCAGTGGCTGAGGGATGAACTAGCCAACACACAGCAGAAGCTACAGAAGAGTGAGCAGTCTGTGGCTCAGCTAGAGGAAGAAAAGAAGCACCTAGAATTCATGAATCAGTTAAAAAAATACGACGATGATATCTCGCCATCGGTAAGTAGCTGTGGAGTGAAAAGCACCTTACGTTGATGTGTGTGTTGTCATCTGCCTGGTTAGCAAGAAACAACAGATACATTTCATTTGTCTGCAGCATAAACTCATCATTAAAATACTTGACTTGTGTGCAGAATGATTCTGAGAGTTCATTATGTTAAGAGAGTATGTATTTTACTGGTTAGTAAAATCCATGCGGGTCAAAATCCATAAATATGTATCCTTATCCATCATGTAACCTTAAAAAATATGAACCAAAGCAAAATTCCACTTCTATGAATTCAGCAGTTAAAATAAGTGGGGAGTGTAAGCCTTGATTGATTCTAAGTATCTAGGGGACTTGGCTTATTTTGTCTGCTGGAAAGGCTTAATTTTCATCTAGCGAAATCAGTGTGTAGCTTTTGTATCTGTTAAGAATTTACACTAGGACAGGATGTTACTGTCTCCCCTCTCAGGACCTTCTGCCAGACATTGTGATCATCTGCACATTTTCAGTTGTGTTTACCTAGCCCATTGTGTTCCATACTCTTAGATCCGGAGAAGATGAACGCAACTTCAATTTACAGAACTAGTTACTTAAAACGACTTCTGATTTATTCATCCTTCTTTTAATCCTTTTATTCTGTTCCCTTGAGTTAGATGGGACTGTAGAGACACATCGCATTTGGTGTGTCCAGACCTTCTCAGCTGTGTCTTGGGAAGAACAGTTTTTCACAACTCATTATTTCAGCAACAGAATGGTTGAAAATGTATGTGGTTTAGTCATGCTTAACTGCTTGACTAATCCTCTTTGTCGTGTCCTAAGTAGTGAGAGTTGTTTGGGTCAGTTGCCCATGGAATTGTTCAGTGCTGGTTCATGATTTGCTGTTTGTGGTTGAATTCTGCCAGTGAGGCCTGTTCAGAGCAGGGGCAGGAGAAGGGAATGTTGAGGTTTTGATGTCCTAACTGTCCAACTGTAATCTGCAGATGGCCTAAATAGCACCATTATTTGGAGTTTAATTGGCAAATAGAGTCCAAGTAAGCGAAGCATCTTCATAGTTGTACCAACCATATGGACAGTGTTTGTTGTTAGTTTTAGTCAGCTGTGACAACCTCAGTAGGAGTTGGAATCTGCACACTTAAAGTGCTGAACTTCCCATCTGAGGTCTAGTCCCATCAACCTGCTGGGTTTGCACCCATTTTGCCCCCACTGAATGCCAACAGCAGCAGTTTTGGCTTTTCCTCATCTGTGGAAAAAGGTGTGTGAAGAGCCAGAAAAATGGGAGTGTGCTCTGCTCCTGGGTTTTCTCCTTACTGAGCTTAACATTGCTGAGAACTTCCAACTGTTTGTATTGTGTAGACTCCGCGTTTAAGGGACAGGATTGAGGGGTGATCTATTTCCCTGTTTTACATTTGGAATGATCTTTGGATGTTTAAAATCAATTTATACTGATGGTTTGTGCAGAAACTAACATGGTTCCAGATGGAGACCATTGGACATGAAGTTCCTCCCAAGTGTGGTTTTTTGTTATTGAGTTTTGACCCTTACAGATCACAACTGCAAGATCTATTGTTTGTGCAGAAGTTGAGGACTCAGAAAGTGAGGTCTCCTCATTCCTCTCCCTTGCCCATCCAGAACTGTGTGTATCACTGCAAAAAGTCCTGTTGACAGTTCTGTATTCAGCAGAGCTTAATATTCACTGGGCACTTTCATCAGATCTAATGCCTCTGTGAGAATAGCAAGTGTGTTCTTGTGTGCTTAAATTGAGACCGCAATCTAGGAGACCTGATTTCTATTCCAGGCTCTTCTGAAGGTGTCCTGTTATGTTTTGGGACAGAGGATGTAAATACATTTGCTTATAACCTTTATAACCTCTGTGAGTGATGATATTCTTGTCAATGCTGAAGTTCTCAATGCAAGGTTTTCCTTTAACACTGCTGATTTATGCCTTAGGTTAAATTTGTTTGGTTTGGGTTGTTCTACAGGAGGATAAGGATACAGATTCCACCAAAGAGCCTTTGGATGACTTGTTTCCCAATGATGAAGATGATCAAGGACAAGGAAGTAAGTGCACTTCAGGTTACACAGTGTATTTCCACAATGCAGAATATAAAGATGCTCTTGACAAATATGAATCCTTGCTTGGAGTCCTCTGGGACATGGAAGGAGTGAAGGATGACTCTCCTAGGATAAGGAAACCAGTCATTGATACATGTTTTATACATTGACATATAGAGAACTGGGGGCTAGGTTTTTTTCAAGAGAGTTTACTAGCTGTTGTAAAGTTCTTTAGACTGACTTGGGTTCAAAATTCTTCCCACAATCTCTCCTGTGGGCCTCAAAATGAGGTTAGTTCCAAGTGACCGAGGTAGTTTCTGACCAGATGGTGAATTCTGTTAATGACCTCTTTAATGATCTGATTGAAGATTTGGTGGCAGGTGTCAGTGTGAAATCTTTTTCTTATAGTCTTTTGTCCTTTGCTGAGGTTGTCTGCCCTAGTTTTACTACTCATCCTGGAAGTGTTGTTTATCTTCAGGCCAGGACTGAGTAATATGTGGTGAAGCTTGAGGTAGAGGTGTGATTGAAAAAGGCTATGAATAGACAAGCTTTGCTTAGTGCAGTGTGGTTTCTGTATGGATGTCAAGGTGGTAGTGTTGATATTGTAGTGTATATTCAGTGTGCTAGGAGCAGAATGGCTCTTAGACAAATGATTTCAGGAAAAAGGGTCCCAACTTTGCAATCAGTCTGAAGGGACCCACCTTTGCAATCAACAGTTTCACATTTCCCTGATGGGCATGTGCACAAGTTACACTCCATTCTTGGTAGCATGGGAATGCTATCCATAGCCAGCCAGGGAAGGAAGGCTTGAAGAGTTAGTAGGTTAGTGTTGATCAGGAACTCCCTCCTTAGCTCATCCTTCCTCCCTTAGGGTGTTGAAGTGGGACAGTTGAGTGGCAGAGCTGTCGTTATACCTATCTCCCTTACTTTGCTTTACAAAAGACAAAGTTGACATGTTGGTCACCTGTCCCTGACCTCCCAAAACGCTGTTATAATCCTTCAGTGCTCTGGGAGGTAGTGACTGTGGGTGAATGCTTGGAATGGTGATAGTCCACTGATGTAAAAAGGCTCCACTGGCTGTGAGAGTGGGTTTTGTGCACTAGAAAGGAGAGGACAAGGGCTCTTGGCTGGAGCCTAGTCCTATGCATTGTCTGGATTTTCATGGAAAAAAGTTAGAGAGAAATATCTAAATCTCCTCACAAATCTGTCAGATGAAAAGGGGGAGTAGATTTTTTGGGGGAGTGGGAGAGTGAGGGTTGCAACAGCCAAAGGTTAGGACCTACTGGCAAGGAGGTGGCTAAGCCTGAGGGCTAGTAAGTCAAACCCAAAGGTTGGCTGTGATGACTCAGTGCCCTTCTCTGTCACCTGTCATTTCTGGCATCCAAGGTGTTGTAGTCCTTTGTGTGCCAACCTTAAGTGTCCCTTGGTCTAACAAAGGGAAACAAAAAAAATTGTATGTTTAGAGAAGGAGAACAAAGGAAAAAGGACAAATAATTCATAGAATTAGAGTCAGCCAGGTTGGAAAAGACCTCATAGATCATCAAGTCCACCCCTACGGCAGTCACTAGACCATGGCACTAAGTGCCACATCCAGTCTCAGCTTGAAAACCTCCAGGGATGGTGAATCCACCACCTCCCTGGGCAGCACATTCCAGTGTCCTCTGTCCCTAAAAAATCTCTTGCTAATATCCAACCTAACCCTCCCCTGGCAGAGCTTGAGTCTGTGCCCTCTTGTCCTCCTGCTGGTTGCCTGGGAGAAGAGATCAACCCCCACCTGAGTCTGAGTTTTTCTGCTATGTTAGTGTTCCTTTCCCTAGGGAAACATCAATATTTCTAAGGGCAAAATCATGATCTAACCTGACCTAGTGAGGAGGTGTCCCTGCCCAGGGCAGGGGGCTGGGACTAGATGATCTCTAAGGTTCATTCCAACCCTTAAATTCTATGACTCTACGATATAATCTTGAGGTCTGTTAAGAGTTTGATGAGCTGAAATAGTTTCCTACTTCCTCCATTAGTTTATTCCATTTGGCCCTTTGAGCTGCTAGAACTGTGCAATAATGTGAATTCGGTATTAGATTACGCAGAGTAAAATGGTCACATTTTCACTGGGACTGTTCGAGGTATCCTCACTGCTGTGCTGTGTCCTCATACTGTGTGTTGAAGAAATCAAATCCAGGGCCTCTCACCTTGTGTCACTGAGCAGCAAGGTTAGACGTTTTTGTTCATGATCTTTTGAAACACCTCCAACTCTTTCTTTCAGTTCAGCAGCAGCACAGCAGTGCAGCAGCTGCTGCCCAGCAAGGTGGCTATGAAATCCCAGCCAGGCTACGGACCCTGCACAACCTGGTGATCCAGTATGCTTCCCAGGGCAGGTACGAGGTGGCTGTGCCTCTCTGTAAACAAGCCCTGGAAGATCTGGAGAAGACTTCGGGTCATGACCATCCTGATGTTGCCACTATGTTGAACATACTTGCTTTGGTGTACAGGTTTGTTCTGCCATAGTTACATAAATGCTTAGCATAGATAACATTGGGGGTTTATTTATATTGTTATATTATACAGGAATAAAGAATATTAAGATCTAAGTGTTGTCTAATATTTCACATTTATATATATTTCCATTTAAATTATATGTATGTAGATTTTATACTAGACAAGAACATAAACATAATATAAATATAATAATCTTTATAGTGTTACGTTCTACATTATATTATTTGTATTTATGACATAGAGTTAAAAAAATATTTAGTATTTGGCTACAGCCTGTTAATGTCCAAACTAGACTTTTTTGACTCTTTGATTTCCCATTAAATTTGTCTTGTTGTTTTAATTTCTAAAACCCTCCAGAGGGTCCTGCAATCTGTGTGTGACTCCCTATACTTCACAGTCACACAAATTGCTGTATTTTTGCCTGTGTCTTTGCTTTTGGGATGAAGCTGTTTTTGATGCTTTTTTTTTTTTTTTTTGTTCTGCTGGAGGCAAGTCTTAATTACCTGCTTAGAGAAAATGTAGAGCTTGAAATTGGGCAGCAGTGTAGAAATAGTACATGGTCAGTAGAATCCTCAACCAGCAAATTGCTTTGTGGTTGCAGCTTCAGGTTTTTACTTCCTGATGGCTGAATATATTCTGAATTTCCCTTTGTACTAGTGCCTTTAGGCTAGTCCTGAAGTCAGTGTCTTTTTTATGCCTTTCTTTTTTGAATCCCCACTATTAATTGTGTCTCTTTAATATTCAGAGACCAGAACAAATACAAAGATGCAGCAAATCTCCTGAACGATGCCTTGGCTATCCGTGAGAAGACTCTGGGCAAAGATCATCCAGCGGTTTGTAAACTTCCAATATCCTATTTTTAGCTGTGTCTTTCACTCAGTTTTGTTCAGCTCATTCTAACACCAAACTCAACAGGAAAGTTTTAAGACCGGTACAGGTAGGAGACCACAATGGAACAATCCTTGTTTTCTCTGAAGTATTTAAAGTACTTTTTGACCATTATATGCAGTGATGTTTCACTGTAAAAGAATCACAGCTTATTCATCCGTGACTTGGAGGGCTCAGAGGTGCCTTCTCAGCAAGTTCCTGATGATACAGAGCTGGGAGGAGCAGTGACACCTCAGAGGGCTGTGCTGCCCTTCAGAGGGACCTCGACAGGTTGGAGGGATGGAGAAGAACCAACTGAGATTCAAAGTTTCAAGCATGGAAAATGTGGCAGTGCTACCCAACTGCCAAGAACTCCATGCTTACACTACAGAAAATGCGTCCAAGTAATATGCTCTCACTCCTGACAGGTTTTTTTCATCATCCTGGTGTTATTCAGAAGATGCAAAGAGAACACATGGAGTGCAGCACCATTAAGTTTCAGGGAAAAGGGCCAGTAACTATGGAAATGATTCAGTGATGTAAAGAATCACCTGGAGTGTTGTGTCCAGTTCTGGGCTCCTCAGCACCAGAGGGACATGGAGCTCCTGGAGCAGCTCCAGGGGAGGGCAAGGAAGATGCTGAAGGGACTGGAGCACCTCAGGGATGAGGAAAGGCTGAGGGAGTTGGGGCTGTTCAGCCTCGAGAAGAGATGACTGAGAGGGACCTCAGGAATGGATTCAAGGCCATGAACAGGAAGTGCCAAGAGGATGGATCAGACTCTGCTCAGTGGGGGAAACCGATACAGCAAGAGGGAAGAGCAAAAACTGATGCCCAGGAAGTTCTACCTGAACACAAGGAAGAACTTTCCTGTGCAGTCACTGAGCACTGAACACGTTGCCCAGAGAGGTCGTGGATTCTCCATCACTGGAGGTGTTCCAGAACCATCTGGACACAACCCTGAGCCATGTGCTCTGGGCTGGCCCTGCCTGAGCAGGGAGGTTGGACCAGATGACTCACTGTGGTCCCTTCCAACTTACCTGTCTCTGTGATCCATGGGATATGTCACTTCATGCAGCTCTGAGCCTGGATGTGAGAGGTACTTCTGTCAGAGAAGAACATATTCAGAAGATGTGTGCACTAAATGACATTTCTACAAATGAAGCAAAATTATATGGGGTTTTTTTGGTTTTTTCCCCGCTATTGTTTATGTATCCATTTTTGTAATTTTTTCTTCATTTCCAAATTCCAAGAGTTCTGCCCTTGGCATGGAAAATTGAAAACATTGATGCCTTGCGGCTGTGTTCAGCCAGTGTCAGTGTAATGAATGTTTCTCCCCCGTTCACAGGTTGCAGCAACCCTAAACAATCTTGCAGTGCTTTATGGCAAACGGGGGAAGTACAAAGAAGCTGAACCTTTGTGTAAGAGAGCACTGGAGATCCGAGAAAAGGTATGAGTGACAAACACCTCTCAATGGCTTTCTGAGGACAACGTCAAACACTCTTCCTTTGTTCTTATGTTTTGGTTGGTTAGATCTGCCAGATGAACCCCAGAGTTAGCAATGTATTTGTAGCTAGCAGCACCTGAAGTTCAAACCAATAGTAAGCTCCAGTAGAACTGTAGAATTGTTGGGGCACTCTGGGTGTATACTAAGTTCTGCCTTTAGAATTAACCTTCTTTTAGAATTAACCTGTTTTTCCTTCCCTTTTGATTGCTGAGTTGTCTTTGATTTGACAAGAGCGTTGGAATTAAAAACCTGAAACATCCTTAACATTTTTCAGTTGATTATTCTGTGGATGTTAATTTTAGTCCCTGAGACTGAATGTCTGAATCTTCAGGCTCTGCATAATTCTCTCCATGTAATGTTGTTTTACTACTTAATTTTATTCCTGTTACGGATTGTGCTGCATCATTCTCTGTTTGCAATCTGAGTCATTTTCATATCTTTCAAGTGCACCTTTTGCTTTTGTCATCCTCATGTTGAGTTGATGAGGAATAAAACTGACAGGGCATTTCTGAGTGATGTATTTTTAAACCCTGATATAGAGTCAGAGAATTATAGAAGCATCAAGGTTGGAAGAGACCTCTTAGATCCTCAAGTCAAACCATTAACCTGTCACTGCTGGAACCCCTAAACCCTAAACCAGATCCTCCAGTGTCAGATGCCTCTTAAACACTTACAGGGGTGGTCACTCCAGCTTTTGCTTTTGTCATCCTCGTGTTGAATTAATGAGGAAGAAAACTAACAGGATATTTCCAGATGATGTATTTCTAAACCTTGATGTGATGATTAGAGGATGTTTCAATTCAGTGTGTTTCTCTTTCAGGTCTTGGGGAAAGATCACCCTGATGTTGCCAAGCAGTTAAATAACTTGGCTTTACTGTGCCAGAACCAGGGTAAATATGAGGAGGTTGAATATTACTATCAGAGGGCACTTGAAATTTATCAAACCAAGCTGGGACCAGATGATCCAAATGTTGCAAAAACAAAGAACAACCTGGTAAGCCTTTGCTAAAGTGAACCCAAGAGGAATTCCCTGATGAATTGAAATGCACGTTTATTCACCATGAGATGTATTTTTTACTTATGAAGATAAATAAAGCAGTGGCTGATATTTTTTGGGGGTGTTCTGTTTTCAGGCATCCTGCTATCTAAAACAGGGCAAGTTTAAGCAGGCGGAAACTTTATACAAAGAGATTCTCACTCGCGCTCACGAACGGGAGTTTGGCTCTGTAGATGGTAAGGAACTGAGTTTGATTTGATTGTTTAATTCTTGTAGTTACTGTGAAATAAAATTTGGAGGAAGTCAGGAGTATCCTGATTAAAATGGTCATCTGCTTTAGGTGGACTTAAAAGTGAGCTGATAGATGTGTTGGAGGTATATTGACATAAGGAAGATTTGAGATAGATCAGTAACGTCAGATTCAAAAGCAGAGTCTTACATGAGGTGGATTTGATGGGTTTATGTTCTATGGATTGTATTTCTGGTATAGAATCATAGAACCATCAGGGTT